CAACGCTGAAGTCATGCCATCTCAGGTATTTGACAAGAATGCTTCCAGGGAAGATGTGAGGAGAGGGTTTGCCTTGTCATCTCTCACCCTGCCCGTTCCCTCTGGCATACCCTTTGCTGCATCACGGTGCACTGATGATGTTACCTAGCTGGGTAATGAAATGTCCGCAAGAGGGAAACCAACCTCACAGCTCCTATGTATAAATAGGAAGCAAGCCGTGTTTACTAGCACTGATGATGTTGCCTAGTTGGGTCATGAAATGTCTGCAAGAAAACCACCAAGCTCAGAGAGCACCCAGGACCCCACAATTTAACTTTGAGTTACAAATCCCTTCCGTTGATAATTAACCGGATCTAATTGAAGAGAGCAACTGCGGTTGAGTTTGCTGCAACTAGTTGCTTCCCCGGGTCTGATTTGTTGGGTTGAAGGGTTACTCAGGAGATACACCACAAAAACCATGTTTTTAATACCAGTTTTCTCCTTGCAGTGGGAATTTCAAGTGGGACCCTGTATCGGCATTGACATGGGCGACCACCTGTGGATGGCGAGATACATTTTACATCGGGTCTGTGAAGATTTTGGTGTTGTGGCTACCCTGGATCCTAAGCCGATGACCGGCAACTGGAACGGGGCGGGATGTCATACTAACGTCAGCACCATAGAAACAAGGCAGAAGGGGGGTATCAAGTGAGTAATTGGACTCGCAACGCTCGAGAACGACGAAAGTGGTTTCTTTTGTCTGGTTTAAAAGAAAAGGTGGAATAGGATTCATCTCCTAATACAGAAGATTCTCAAAAGTGAACACAAAGATAAAACCAGAAGCGTTTCTTTTGGGCTTAATGGAAAAAGACATTGGTGTGTGTGTGTGTGTGTGTGTGTGTGTGTGTGTGTGTGTGTGTGTAATCTGGAACTTTTGTGTGCACATAGAACAGGGAGGGAAACGTTTGGAACCCCAGGACTGGTTGAGTCCCCTGGCAACTGGGTTTATCATCAAACCAACCAGAAATCCAGTCCAGTTGTCAGGACTCAACTTCCAGACCAGATAATATTAAATTGGTGCCACCTCCCTCGCTGTTGCCTGCTCTTCTCTTACGCTTTCTTGTCCTTCCCAGGGCCATCGAAGCCGCCATCGAAAGGCTGAGCAAACGCCACAAGTACCACATCCGGATGTACGATCCCCGAGGAGGCCAGGACAACCTCAGAAGGCTCACCGGCCAGCACGAGACCTCCAGCATCACAGAGTTCTCGGCCGGAGTGGCCAACCGGGGCGCTAGCATCCGCATCCCTCGCCAAGTAGGGCAAGATGGCTATGGCTACTTTGAAGACCGACGGCCGTCCGCGAACTGTGACCCCTACGCAGTCACGGAAGCCATTATGCGGACCACCATACTTGGGGAAACGGGAGATGGACTTGTAGATGAAACGGATGAAACGCGGCTGCTAAGGGCCACTCTCAAGGACTGAGCACCCCACGAACCACGGCCAACCAACCCCCCCCCCCCTTTCCCCAATTCATTCTGTACCTGTTAGTAAACATCTGGCAACTTTGGGTTCCGTGTTGACTTCCACATTCTACCTTTGAGAGACCGAATTGTGTTCTCCTCACCTAGCAGACATCACAAAGTGCTAAGATCATTCTAGTGAGGTTCCCCAAATTAGAGCTGCTTAGAAAATTGAGTTGGTGGGACAAACAGAGAGAAAACTTTCAAACTATAGATATATCAGAATAGAACTGGAAGGGACCTTGGAGGTCTTCTAGTCCAACCCTCTGCTCAGGCAGGAGACCTTAAACCATCCTGGACAGATGGCTATCTAATCTCTTCTAGAAAACCTCCAGGAAATTGGGACACCCACAACTTCAAGTTGATTTTGTAACAAGTTTGTGTGTGTGCGTGTGTGTGTGAGAGAGAGAAAGAGAAGTGGGGGGAGAGCTAAATGTCCGAAATGGTGCAGGGTCTCCTGCTAGGGCAGGGAGTTCGACTAGATGGCCTACAGGGTCCCTTCCCTCTGTTAATCTGTTAAAGATCAA